CCGCGTCGGCTGTGGAGCCCCAGTCGGTCGCTCGGTCCGGACCTCGAGGACGCCACGCCGGCCACGGCCCGGCCGCTCTGCCTGCTCTCGCAGAACACCGGGGACAGCACCGCGGCGCGGCTCGCGCTTGCGGAGCTGCAGGAGAAGCTGCACACCTCCAACCACAGCTTCACGGCACTGCAGGAGGAGGTGCGGCGTCTGAAGCGGGAGTTGGCGTCCCGCGAGGAGGAGAATGCCATTCTGCAGATCCTCGCCTCACCACACTTTGACGATGGCGCGGAGGCGGAGGGGTGGGATCCCGCGTCGGAGGAGAGCCCCGTTGGATGGGCGGCGGTCGTGCAGCAGGGAGAGGCGGACTCCACGCGGTCGGCTCTTCTTGCACGCGTCCGTGGCCTCGAGCGGGACCTGCGGCACGCCCAGTTTCGCATGGCACACTGGAAACAGGTCCTCGACGCCGAACGGGATTTGTACAAAATAATGCTAAACCAGTTTCATCAGCAACTTGAGTTTCAAGAGGGGCTCGTGCGTCGTAGCTCATCGCGAGCGGCGTCAATCGAGAATACTGGCAGGAGCCGAAACCTCGCGTCTGAAGATGTTTTGAGTAATTTGCGCGGCGTCGAAAAGATGTTTGATCAGGTTCTTCAGAAGCGCGATACGGTGAGGACGACACTGCGCGATGAACAAAGGTCGTTTGTGGAAGCGAAGACGAAAATGAAGATGGAGATTGATCGGTTGGAGCGCCGCTGCGCAGCCGCGGAAGGTAAGTACGATGCACAGTCGCGGCTCGCCTCTGAGCTTCGCCTTCAGATGGATCAGCAGCGCGAGGATTGCGAAAGACGAACACGGGAACTCACCGAGCAGATAGCGACGCTGCAGAGCGAACTCCAAAGGGTCCGTGAAAAGCATGTCAACGATGTCAACGCGCTCCAAACTCTTTCCCAGCACGCCTCCTCGTCCTTCAAGGAACGGGAGAGGGAGAAGCAGGAGGAACATGAGCGGCAGCTCCGTGAGCTCGACCTAACTCTCACCCGAGAGCGCGACGAAGCGGTGCGCAATCAAAAGCAAAGTTTGAAAGACTTTGAGCGAGGCCAGGCTGCCCTCACCCAGCAGCTTCGCAGGGCGGAGGAGCAAATAAACGCCTTGCAAAATCTCGTCTCGGCAGGCGAAGATCAAGTCGAGGTCCTTGAAGAGGCCCTTCAGAAAAGCGAAAAATCGCTCAGCACCGCTTTACATTGGCAACAGGAGCTGTTGGCGACGCACGCCACGGAGGCCCAGCGCGCGAGAGATTCCGCCGGGTGCGGGGACATGCACACTTTGGGGACGCAGGCGATGAACGATGAGGCGGCGTCCGAGCGCTGGTGCGCGTGGATCGCGCCCGGTTTTCTCCGTCACCTCGCCAGCCGCCATCGCCTCGAGCAGAAGTGGCATCAAAAGAAACACGACCTCTTCATGCGTACCATTACTTCTCACCTCGCGGCGGTGTGCGAGGTTGGGTTTGCGCTGCCCCGAAAAGAAATCGCGAGAGCCCGTCAGGAAATGCGGTTTGGCGAGACGATCCCTCCCTCTGCGAGTGAGGATCCCTTGGGGTTGGAATACGAAATCAAGGAATACCAGCAGGTGGTGGCCTCCCTAAGAGAAGCATTGCGGCAGCACGAGGAGGCCCGTCGGATTGACCATCGCACGATTCAGACCCTCAAACGTCTGCTACGGCGGCAACACGAAGCAGGGGAGGGAGAAGGGGAAATGGAGGGCGTGGCACCGTGGCGGGTGGCGCTCTCGCAGCTCGCGCCCGTGGCGGCCCCGGGGGAGGGGCTCGTGCAGTCTGTGGAGGCCTACCGCCGGCGATACGCCGCCCTGCAAGCGAGCCAGAAAGAGCCTCGTCGAGAATTCCGATGAGCCCCTTCCTCCCCCTCCCTTTCTCTCTTCTCGATAATCCAAAACGAGGAAGAAGACGAAGGAAAAAGGGGGGTTCGACCTAGCCGACCAATCGCCATTGTGAAGGACTGGAAGCTGGTGCAGGGCTAGGGGCGGAGAACAGTAACTGCTTCCGAATAAGATGCCAGTTGGAGAAGATTTTTGGGACGAAAAGGGAATATACATACTTTTTTTTTTTGCATAATGTCAACAAATACGCATTGGGTACTTTTTCGTTTTCTTTTTTCCCACCATCAATTTGATCCAGCTGTATTATTATCACCAACTATGTTTTTACCCAACCTAACAAAGCTAATAATTTTCGAAAAAAACAAAGCGATGAATGAATTCCATGTCATGAAATTCATTCGTGCGCGGGGATGCTTAGGTGGTTTTCGCTGCCATACCCTTACTTTATCCCTTTCTCGTCATCACGCAGCCTTTCCCCCTTCATTTTTAGACCCCCTCATCGAATGAAAAGCGCCAATCCGAGGATCGTCCAAACTCTCGAGCCCCTTCTTCACGGGCTGAAGTTCGCCGTCGTGTACTGCGGAACGCATCAGTACAAGGTTTCCCCCGGCGACGTCATCGTCGTGCAGCGGCTGCGCGCGGAGATCGGCAGTCAGATTGCGCTGAAAAAGGTGTTGATGGTGGGTGGGGCGCGTTTCACGTCGATCGGGCGTCCGTTTCTCGATCACGCGCGCGTCTTGGCGGATGTGGAGGAGCATAAACGAATGCGAAATGTCGTCTCCCTCTTCAGCACCCCTGGGCGGCGGCAGACGCGTTGGGTGGACGCCCAACACGCCGCGACGATCCTGCGCATCACGGAGGTGAGCTACGAACCGGAGCTCCTGGGCGAGCTCGATAAATATGACGGGGGGCTGCTGAAGGATTTCAACCCAGAGGTGCATACGAACCCGGTGTTTAGCGCGTTGGATGGGTATGATATTTTCAAGAAGAAAGACAAGCAAGCGGTCGAAGAGGCGACGACGTTCCTAGACATGATGGAATAGCCTCCCCACCCCTTCCTCTCGCCCCCTCTCGGGCAGTTGGAATACTGGGGAAGAGAAAGGGTGTGGTGAACATGGGGGGAAAAATGGCTGAGGATTTTCTGCGTCGAACCCATGATTCTGAGCTGTTATGATGGTGATGATTGGAGTTGTTGCTGCTTTTTTTTGTACTTTGGATACTACTTGGGTGGTGTTAACATCGGGATGAGTCGTTTATGCACGATTCCAGATTCGATTGGAAGTTCCCTTTATGCACTCCCAGAGGGTTGGGCTACAGAAAACGGACTGAGAGAAAAACGAAAAAAAGGGGAGTGGGGAGAAGACATTGGGAATAAGCCAAAATATTCTCGCTTTGTCACATGAATATCCGTGTATGGATGAGTAATGTGAGGGAATGCGATGAGAGGTAAATCGTGATTCTCGTGATTCGCATGAGTGATGATGTTACACACATGTAAGCGATCCTACCAATTTTATTTTTTGGGAACTCGTTAGGGTACCTTCTTTCTGCCTTTCTTTTCCCTTAATTTCTCTTTCTCTCCTTTTTTTTTCCATTTGACAACGGACACCGTTGCTGCCCCCCCCCCCTCCCCCCCCAATAAACCACGCAGACAGCAGACGACATATTCCCTTTTAACATATTATATCTAAGATTCTCAGAAACCAAACGGGGGGAAACCAGTGAGAGGGGCTGGGTATTGATTGGCGGTTGATCTTTTCATCGTCCTTCACAACTCCACGGGTGGGTTCTTTTTTTTTTTTTCCCCTCTTGTATCGAGGAAACGACGACAGACAGGTGGTGAACCGGATTCCCCCACGATGTCGGTGCATATCACGCCGCTCACGCGGCATCAACTCCTCGAGGTCGAGCTCTGCGTCCGCAACGCGGTGCACGCGATCGACCCCCCCCCCGATGCCGGCCGGCGGCGGGGTTCCAGCCCCTCGCCCTCGCCTGAGGGCCCCGCCCCCACCCCTGAGGTCGACCCCCCCCCCCCCAAAAGCGGCGGCGAGGTCGACGCAGTCGACCTCGCCGCCCATCCTTCACGGGCGTTACGTCGACGTCTTGACGGATGCCGCCGCGCGGGGGTGGCGTCGCTACGAGCGTCTGCTATACCTGATTTGGTGGTCCCACCGGCCGTCGTCGTGTGGGGGCTGCGGGATGGCCGACGCGTGGGTGCCCTCGGCGGAGTCGGAGATGTTCTGCGCGCAGTGCGGCGCCGAGGCGGGCTCGACCCGGCTGAACGACGTCGTCGAGGACCTCCACCGCGGCGGCCCCGACGACAGCGACGACGACGAGCGACCCTGGGGTGGCGGCGAAGACGGAGGCGGGGGAGGGGGCGGCATCGGGGTTTCCCCCCCTATGGCGGCCTCGAACGTGGTCGGGGCGTATGGGTTTTTCTGGGATTGGCTCGAGCGGCTTCGCGCGATCGGGGACGGGGACGGGGAAAGGGAAGGGGATCCCGCGCGCGGGGGGTTGGCGATCGCGCTGCCCCGCGGCGACGCCCTCCCGGCGGTGCTCCGCGCGGCCT